TAAATTATTTTTTTTTGCTTCAAAAAATTGCAAATTTTTTCGGCGAAGAAAATTTTCATTTTTTTTTAATGTAATAAAATTATTATTTATTATATCACCGAATTTCTATTACATTTTCCATTTTTATGAATATTTCTCACAAAAGTATTAAATTATTATTATTAAACGTTCGCTTTTATTAAAATGAATGGTTCAGTGAACAATTTGTTCGTAATAATTGATAATTGATAATTGATAAATGAATAATAATTTGTTTTGTACTCGTTCTAAAGTACCAATTTTAGGTGCACCACAAATAAAATTATCTTGTCAAAAATTGTCAAAAATTGTCAAAAATTCAGTTTGGCGATCCCACATTTGTGATTCCATCGCTAAATGGCATTTAGGCAAAATTTTTCTGCTTCAACAAGCCAGCGGATTAAGCCTAATCAGAAATGATAAGAGCTTATCTAAAAAAAAACCATGTTAAATGGATTGATTACGAAAATATATATATCTATGAAAAGAGAGCCAGAATGGTTCAGTGGATTATTACTTAATTCGAAGCGCCGATATTGAGGTTCTACTCCCAGTGGAGCAAATTTGTCTAAAAATGCGAGTGATTCTGGCGACTCACCTGTATCAATATTCATTTATAAAGTCGACGAATTTTCGAAATTTCTAAAAATTTTCACGTCGTTCTATTCTATTGAAGCCAGAGAATTAATGAGTCATTTAAGAGGGGATAGAAAGGGTGTGGGGTGGGGAGGGGGTTCGAAGGGGAAGGTGATTCGACCATTAGTACGGTCCATGATCCAGATTTTACTTCTTTTAAAAATAGGCGAAAAAAATTTTGCTTGATGCAATTTTAATCAAAGCATATGACAGTCGCAAGCTTTAGCTAAGAGCTTATGAATAGAGCGATAAGACAATCCATGTTTATTCCTAAATTAAAAATATAAAAAATAAACATAAAAATTATGAAAATGATAAAATAAAAAAAATATATCGATTTTGTAAAAAAAAATTAAAATAATTTTATGCTTTATGATCGATATTATTCGGTTGTTTTCTCACCGTGGTTTCATCCACTTTTTTGTTTGCTAATATTTTTCGACATTCAAATAAATCTAGCCGATTCACTTTTTTTTTTGTATAACTAATTATCCTTATCATTTATCATTATTATCATTATTTGTTGCTTTTATTATTTTTATATAATTTAATGTAATTCCTTTTTACCTTTAATAAATCTAGTCGATTCATTTCTTTTTGCATAAATGATTTTCATTATCATTTATCATTATTGTCATTGCTTGTTGCTTTTATTATTTATATAATTTAATGTAAATCCTTTTACCTATAATCCTTTTTCAAAACATGTTTAATATTCTCGTTTAATGTTCTCAAATCCTTTAATCATCATTTAATACAATATCAATGATGGTTATACTGCTCTGTCATGTGATTCTTTGTCTGATCTAATAAGCCAAGAACCAAAACCAAGCCAAGCTAAGCCAAACCAAGCCAAGCCAATAAAGCGAGCCTAACTAAAAATAAGAAAATCTTAGAAAATCTTAGAAAAAGAAAAAAACCTCTCAAGCTCTACTCGCATAAATTTTCTTTGTATTTAAATAATTTCCGTTATTCCTATTTCTATCGTCCTCAACGATGAACACCATCCCAGTTAGTTGTTCTTGTGTGGTACCATCCCAGTCAGTTGTTCTTATGTGGTACCATCCGAAAACCTGTTATATTTCCTCTATTTCAATCGCTTCTGGCGTTTTATCAACACTATCCACAAAACTTATTTATCGTTCGTTCCATGGCTTTAATCTATATTTGAAACTACTAAAATTTGGCTCTTCTTGCTTTTCTTATTGCTGCTTAGACTTAAGCCTAAAGCCTTGGCTTCTTATAATTGTGTATTTTTGTATGTGTCTGTCTCTCTCATTTATTATTTATATTTATTTTCTTTGCTTTCATTATTTTTATTCAAAAATTTTTCTGGCCATTTGTAATAAATAACGCCAAATCTAAATATTGATTTTCGTTTACCCTCCAAAAAATATGCAAATACTATTAGCTAATATTTTTTTGTGGAAGCAAATACTATTTATCAGCATTCGTATGTATGTGCATGCATATGAGTGCATGTATGTGTGCCTATATTCGTGCACATATGTGCATACATATATATTTATATATATGCTTATGAGTGCATACATAGGTGTATGTTTATTTATATATATGTGTGCTATGTATATGTGTGGATGTACATGTGAGAGTATATATGGGTGCATATGTGCATGTGTGGGTATATGCGTGCACATGTGTTTCTGTGTGCATATATGTGTGTGCATATGTATGTCTGTGTTCGTATGCGCGTGTGCATACATGTGTGTGCATGTGCATATATGTGTACGTGTGCATATATGTATGTGCACGTGTGTGTATGTGCGTATGTATATGTGTGTGTGGATATATATTATGTGTAGGTGTGTGAGTATGTGTAGGTATGTGTATGTATATACGTGCATATGAAGTTTTTTGTATGTGTGCATATGTGCATGTGTGGGTATGTGTGCATATGTGTGTATGTGTACGTGTGCATATATGTATGTGCACGTGTGTGTATGTGCATATGTGTGTGTGCGTATGTGTATATGTGTGTGGATATATATGTATGCATAAGTATATGTGTGTGTGGGTATATATGTGTATATGTGTAGGTATGTGTATGTATATACGTGCATGTGAAGTTATGTATGTGTGCATATGTGCATGTGTGGTTATGTATGTATGTGTATGTTTTTGTGTTTGTGTGTATGTGTGTATGTGAGTGTATGTGTGTGCATATTGCATCATTTTGCATCATTTCAATGATAAATTTCATTAATTTCCTTTCTTTCCTTAATCCATTATCTTTTAAGATTTCCTTATCCCTATTTATTCTTTTCGAATATCGATTTTTTTTCGTCTGTCTGCTTAAAACAAAATTTAATTCCAATTTATCATTTTATCTATAAAATAAAAAAATATGTGGGAAAATAAAATATTTCCTTATAATTCATGTGATTCCTTTATTTTTTTTTTTGAAAGAGGGAATTCGCAATTTTTGTGGTCGAATGGAACCAACCTAACGAATGGATTATACGAGTTAGGATTTCGAATTTTGAGCTAAATAGGAATATCTGTTGAGAATGAGGAAAGATTTGAATGAAAATAGGAGAGAAGAGAGATGAAAGAGATAGGAGAGGAAAAAAACTGTGGTGGTGGCCACGATAACCGAAGAGTGACCGTTTTCAAATATTCGTCAATCGTAACAAAAATAATTCGTTTTTTTTTCTGAAAAACTCTTTCACCATGTTTCTTTTGGATTTTTTGGAATACAGTTTGGAACAATTTTATATCAGTGGGGAGGGTGAGTGAGTTCAGCTGGCGCGCTATTGTCTCTCTTGTTCGCAACTGCCATCCACAAATCTATCATGCGTTGTTAATATAATTTAGAAATTTATATGGATGTTTTTGAAAATTAATAACTTGAATAAAGAGCAATAAAATGATAAAAATAAATTGAAACAATAGAATAGAATAACCGGAATGTGTGCAATTTATTTTATATTAAACCTATATAAATATATGAGCTGATTATCATTTTATCAGCTAAAATCGTTTAACAATAAACGACTCGAATTATTCTTTCACATTCCAAATAAATTCGATTATTTCTAGAATGATAAAATTAAGTGAATTGTCATAATTAAAATTAAGTAAATTGTCATAATTATTGTCATATCAATCAAAATTGTAAATGATAAATGATAAGGAGATTTTTTTTACTGAAAAAATGACAAATAGTGACGTATCAAAAATTTTCGTATTGATAAATGATGAATGATAATAAATTTCTTTATATTAATATATTAATAAATGACAAATTAATAATAACAACAATAACAACGATAAAATCTTTTTTATCAATTAATCATAACGCAAATTTTTTCTGATCGAATTTTTTTCATTTTATAATCTTTTTTTTTGAAAATTTTTTTAATATTATTTTTCGTAATAATTTTTTAAAAGTTTTTAATGATGATCTATTTGCTTTTTTTTTAAATTTTTTATTTTTTTGTCTTGCACTGTAGAACTGTTAAATGATAAAGAAATTTTTTATATTGATAAACGATATCTTTCGATTTATGTTATTATTTTAGTTAATAATAATTGTTAATTTTTTTCATTTCTTTTTTTCAAAAAATTCTTTAGTGGGATTCTTTTTAGGTTAACTCTCCTCTATGAAAAAATTTTAAAGCACTGATAATTTGACACTCGCTAAATGGGCTAATGGAATGGCATAGTTTAGCTAGAAAATCAGTCATTGGTGACAGAAGTATAGTTGCATACACACCATCATTCAGTTAATATTTATCTCTGTATTAATTATAATAATATTTAATAATAATAATATTGATATTAATGTTATTATTATTAATTAATATTGTTAATGGTCCATCAGTTAACAGACATTATGTTCCATCAGTTAATCAGTTATCAGTTAACATTAATATTTATACTAATGTTTATGCTTATAATAATTAATAAGTGATATTTATTTGTAATAATTAATATTAATTATTATGGCATGATATTCCTTTCATAAGTTTAAAGTTTAAAGTTCACTGATTCAATTCTTCGTGATAATTTTTATCATTTTGATAAAAATTAATTGAAATTAATTACGAATTGCAATCAATGACCTATTTATGAGTTAGAGAATAGTGATATAGAGAGAGTAATAAAGTAGAAGTAAAATAGTGCAGAAATTGTTTAAAGATTCATGCATCGCTTCCGAAATAAGAGATTTTCATCCGTTTTCAAATTAAGAAATATTTTTTTACGAGTTCTTTTTAAATTCGCGTTCATTCGTTTTAATGATGTCTTTTTTATTAATTAAATATTATAATTAAATATTAAATTAATTAAATATTATAATTTTTAAATTTTTTTTTTTTTTTCAGAATAATTATGGTGATTTTAACGAAAAAAGAATTTGAAGATGCTGAAAAGAAAAGTCTTTGGATTAAAAATTTCGAGAAAGATTCATGCGGTGTTGGATTTATTGCATCAATTGATGGAATTTCAACACATCGGGTTTTTTCTTCTTTTTTTTTCAATTATTTTTTATATTTTTAATTTTTATTTAATTTTTATTTTTTTATAAAAATAATAAAATTTAAATTTTATTTTTTAAAATAGATTTTGAAAGAAGCTCGAATAATGTTAGAACGAATGGCGCATCGCGGTGCATGTTCATGTGATAATGATTCGGGTGATGGTGCTGGCGTCCTTACTGCTATTCCTGATAAACTTTATCGTAACGAATTACTTCAGTTAGTTTCTATTATATTTCTATTATTCATTATTATGATTTTTGTTTTTTATTATTTATTATTTTAATTTTATTAATTTATTTTTATTTTTTATGCATTTATATTTTATTATGTTTTATATTTATTTATTTTCATTTTATTTTTATTTTATATTTTATTTTATTTCATTTATTTAAGGCATTTAAATAAAAAAAGTTTTTCAGTTTTGTTATTTATGAATTAAAATTTTGAGCTATACATCAATATTTATTATATAAATATTAAGATTATAGATGTGGAGATATAGAACTTCCACAGTTAGGTTGTTACGCAACTGGTATTCTTTTTCTTAATCGAGAAACTTATAAACAAGCCAAGGAAGCATTTATGGATTTGGCAAATGGTTGCGATTTAAAAGTTATAGCTTGGCGGCGCTTATTAACACATAATAGTCGAATCGGATTTGAAGCGAGAAAAACCGAACCCGTTATGAGACAAGTTATTTTTTATTTTATTTTTTAAGTTTTAATACTTTAAAAACTTTTTATTTTGTTTTATTATATTGTTATATTTATTTATATATTTATATATATATTTTATATATATTTATATATATTTTATATTTATTTATATATTTATATATATTATATATTTATTATATTATTATATTTTAAAAGTTAAAGTAAATAAAAATTATTTATTTTATTTTATTTTATTATATTATTATTTATTTTATTATATTATTATATTATGGAGTTTATAATATTTATGGAAATTTTATTTAGTTATTATTATTTTTTCTTCATTTTTAATATTTTTAAGGTATTTGTATCGGCAGAATACGCAACTGAAGATAAAATTCGTTTCGAAAAAAATATATATATTCTACGAAAACAAGCAAGTATACAACTTGCGAAACAAGAAATTGAATGTTATATTGTATCTTTAGATACATCGATAATCGTTTATAAAGTAAAATTTCTTGAATTAAACTAAATTTATATTGAAATTTATAATGTTTTTAAATTGACCGATTTTTGTCCATGAACGGAACTAAATGAACCATGATCATTAAGCGTGATCTGAGTGATCTGAAAATCTGAGTGATATTGTTGATCGCATAGTTATCAGTGATTAGTGATGGAGCGATAATATAATTGGTTTAGCCAATCAGAATATCAGGAACGGTGATAGTGGTATGGAAATATCAAAAACTCTTATTGTCAGATATACGTGATTTTACTGGAACTTTTTAGAATTAGTTTTTGAATCATCCACATAAAAAAGTCAATTCACCAATACTTCATTATTATGCACGACATGGATTGTCAGTTTAAAAAGTTTTGCATGAACATATTACAGTTTTCGCTAAAGTTATAGTAAAAATTCAGTTTCATTAAAATTCCTTACCCAGAAAATCGTTCATATAATGGCACATAACACAGAGACACAGAGATTTTTTACAAAAATTATTTGACTACTAAGCTTCTGGTCTTCTGATCTTTACAGTTTATATATCTCAGTCAAATGCAACATCTCAGTCAATTTACGAAATATTTGAGGAACATTATTTGTAATAAACAAATAAATAGTTTTTGTGTCTTTGTACTTTGAAGGTACTTCAAAGTATGGTACTTGATAGTACGACAATAGGCTGTTTTTATATATTAGCTTTTGTTCGTCCTTTTATTCTTCATAAAACGGAATAATCATTTCCTCCTTTTGTCTAAATAAATCAATCGCTTATCCGATATGACTTAGTCAAATTTTGAGCAAACAAATTATTACTTAGCACAGGTTTTTCTTGTCACCATTGGTATTTCTCATGTTTTGAAAATAATATGTAAATAGACTATAAAAACAATAAGTGCAGTGAAAAATATTAATAATATGAGATTTTATGTATTTTGCGAAGAAATTACTAGCAAATATTGCGAAATTTTTATTGCATTTTTTACACAAATTTTTTAAAATTTTTATTACATTTTTTAAATTTTTTACATAAAGTTGTTCTTTATTAAAGCATTATTATATTTCAGGGTCAATTTACAACTCATCAACTTTATCCCTACTATGCTGATTTAACAAATCCCGAATTTATATCGCATATTGCTATTGTACATAGTAGATATTCGACGAACACGTTTCCAGCATGGTCAAGAGCTCAACCTAATCGGTTAATTTCTTTTATAGTAAAACCGATAAAATTAGTTTTTTGAAAAATTTAAACATAATTTTTCTTTTTTTTTTCACTTTTATAATTGATTTTCTCATAATTGATTTTAATCAAATTCGGAAAAAAAGTTTTTTTTTGAGAAACTTCAAGCGAATCGTAAATAATTAAATTTGATTAGAATTTAATTAGATAGAATTTTTGTAAAAAAAATTTTCAGTATGGTTGCACATAATGGTGAAATTAATACGTTACGTGGAAATATAAATTTTATGAATTTTATGAATATAAATTTCATCAATTTCGATCAAATTATCAGAGATTATCAAATTACAATATCTTACTTAAAATATTTTATGCTGCATGTGCCATCTTTAATTTTATCGTTTTTGTAAATGCCTTGATCAGCGAAATATGCTCAGCAAAGTATCGCCAATATAAAAGTTTTTAAAAAAAAAAGTTATTTTAAACGATAGCAGTAATTTTCCTCGCCATTTCTAATTAGACTCGCTCCCATGGTTTATCGGGCCGTGCAAATTTTTACCAACGAATTACATAACCATAAAATAGGTTAATCGTCAGTATCAACGATCAGTTATTTAAAAAATATTCGATTTTGAATCAAACCTCACGAATTATTAAAAGTTTGGAAAAATTGCCTTGCCAAACTACGAGAAAGAATTATTCTTTTCAGTATAAAAGAAATAAAATATATCGAATTTTCAATCAAAATTTGCGCATCGTACGAATTGCACCAAACCAAAACCAACTTCATTCTTTCTTGATCTGCTGCAAAAAAAGGAGCAAAACTGCCGCATAAAAAGCTTATTTGACCTGCTCCGCTTACATGAAGAATAAGAAATAATGCTTTCTTAAATTCACTTTTTATAAGAACCCCATATAAAACGTTTGATAATGATAACGTTTGATAACAAAAAGCGATTGATGAAGATAATAAAAATTTCTAGCATCTTTAAAAAAATATATCTTCTTACTGCAGTCAGTATTCCTGGTTCAACTAGACCAGAAAATTGTCATTTAGAAATAAATATTTCGATAATCGCCAAAACAGCATAGAATTTGCTCCTATTAAAAAGTGAAAATGGAAAATTAAAAATTTTTGTTTCTCAACATTTTTTTTGTACCCAAAAATTTAAAAAATTAATTTTAATAGATTACCCGGGATTTCCCCAAGAATTATTCAAAAAATTCTACAAAATATTGCAAAATAAAAAGTGCAAAACACTAAAATACACTAAAAGACTAGTTTAGTTTGAAGATCTTTACAGTTTGAGCGAAACATTAGATAATGGTATTTGAAATAAGTGAAACGAATTGACAATCCATCTATGCACATTGTTCAGCGAGCTCGTATAACTTGGTAGCAAGTTTACCTTTCATTGACTCCATCGCTTTTTCTGCCGCTTCATTATAGAGCTCGTAGGCTCGACTTAAATCTCGTTCTAAACCGTATCCACCTATAAAATAGTTTTTAAA